GCTGGGTGGCATGTTGTATTAGGAATGGTCTGATCTTTCGTATGTTATACAGCGCAAAGCAGTATGAACGAACAACAGAGGCAACATGATCTTTAAAGGTCAGGTGTTCATCAATCACAACACCCAGATTTCGAACTGCCTTTGAAGGAGCCAGAGATAGGAAGTCATTTTGGATTGAGATATTGTGCTGTATGGATGGTTTTGCTGGGATTTAGAGAGGTTGAGTTGGAGATGGTGGGATTTCATCCATTTTGATATGTCAGAGAGACAGTTTGGTATTTGTGCAGAGACAGTGTGGTCGTCCGGTGGAAATGACAGATAGAGCTGGGTGTCGTCTGCATAGCAGTGGTGGGAAAAGCCATGTGATCGAATTATCTCACCCAGTGAGGGTGTATATGACAGAGAAGAGGTCCTAGTACAGAGCCCTGGGGGACTCCTGTGGCAAGATGGTGCACGGTAGAGGATTGTCCAAGCCAAGATACACTGAATGATCGTCCTGTGAGGTACGATTCAAACCAGGCGTGTGCTTTCTCTGTGATGCCCATGCTAGAGAGTGTGGACAAAAGGAGGCCATGGTTGACAGTGTCAAATACAGCCGATAAGTTCGAGCAGGATAAGCACTGAGGATTTGGCAGTCGCCAAATTGGAATTGGAATCGGAATCGTTCAAAATCAAACAATGCCCAACCCTGATAAAGACACAACGGCTAAGCTGACCAAGCCACGCGGCTACTGTAACATAATAGAAAAAAGTGGCACTTTTTCTTTCTAAATCTGTGATTGACTCATGAATCAATATTTTTACTCCAGTTAAAGGAGACATAACATGCTTTTAAGTTATTCCTTTTTACATCTAAATCCTTCAGTTGGGGTCTAAATACAGTGGAACTGCAGTTCTTTGGTCTGATTTCCTCATTATTGTTGCTCTACAGACCCTCATCTACCCCTGTTCTGAGGAGAGTCTTGAGAACGAGCCGTTTTTGGGTACTGTCTCTTTAAACTGGAGGAGGAGCTGTAAACTCCGCCCCCCTCCATAGTGCAGACCTGTACTCTCCTCCCCCAGTCGGACTTTGTAGTTCTATAGAGAAATCATTATTTAGCATAGCAGATTTAGCATAGCATATTAGCATTTTTAAAACATGTGGGGAGGGTAGTTCATCAAGCTGTTTCAAGGCTGCTAACTCTCTCATGCATTTGTCTGTAGTCACACACACACACCCGTCACTGCCGACGGAGGGACCAGCTAGCAGGCACGTGCGCGCGCGCACACACACACACACACACAAGGAATGCTGCTTGCTTATTTATTTCTATAAAAAATGTTTTAAAAAATGATACAGCTCATTAAAACACCATTAAAAGAATACATTTTATTAAGATCTCTATCTATATATATACATACATATAATTATAAATAATTTTATAAGTAGTCTTATTTTATATTGGGTGTCTTAATGGCTGAAAATGGATAAAAAGCAGTTACATTTTAATTTAAAGATTTGAGATTCGAGTCAAAAATAAAGAACATTCCTCCAAATGTTCTTTAATGTGATCATTATAATTCTAATGCTTACAACTTTGTTTTTATTGTCTGCAATGCGTAGCCTATATCTTTATTAAATGTGTTTAGCTGAAAAGTGGTAATTCTCTCTAATGTGTACAGAGAGGTGGACATCAGTGCTGCAGTGAAATTCCCAAGATCAGTCTGCTTTGCTAACAAATATAGTTAAATCTTACCTGCATTCTAAATAAATACCGTTAGGTGAAAACATCAGTAGGCATTGAGTTATTGATACAATCCCTAACAGCCAGAATGGAAGAAGAGCATGCTGGGTCATCCTGGATCTGAGCCTGTTCTGTGTATTTACCTACAGGATGCAATAAATGTCTACAAGGCTGAGTTTGGACCATTACATCTAAAAGAAAACATACAATCAGTGATTTTTTTATTGTTTACATTAATATACACATTTTCTAAGTATTAACCTCACAGCAAATAAGTAGAACTATATAATAAACAGGCTTTAGTAGTTAAACAGGCGTTGTGCACACAGGTGCTTTGTGTCTCGGTGCTGGTGGTGTCTAGGTCTCAGAGTTCCTGTCCTCCTGCCGTCTTCTGTTGTCCTCAGGATACGGATTGATGTTTCCTGATGATGAGGGAGGGGCAGTATGTGGGCTTCAAACTGGTCCTGGATAACAGTGGGAGACCTCCGTTGTCTGAATACTGAGACCAGAGGGTTGGTGAGATGCAGATCTTCTCTACCTCATCTAGAAACGGAGTTGGTTCAGGGAAAACTTTTCCAAAGACCAGTTCCATGATGTCATCGCCATATTCTGCAATGATAGACGATAACTTTAATGACATATTTTGTTTACAAGCAGCTTTAGGAAAGTTGTTTCTTTAGCTTTCATGTTTATAGTCACGTTTGTGTTTGTTCACAAGTTCACTTTGCTGCAGTGACTTCATATTCTTACAAATGTAATAAAATAGTGACACTAAAATTATACAAATGATTCCTTATGAAAGGAAGCTCATTAGAGAGCAGTGCAGACAGACTTACTACATGCTGCAGCTGTTTTTACAGGCCAGCTGCTGCTGAATTTGGGGAAAGTTATTCTGCACACATCCAGATCAGATGGTCGATTACAGAAAATAATGTAATTCAATAATTTCTAAACAGATTAAACAAGTAAAACATCAAATAAATCACTCTGCTGTCATCAGACGGAGTGATTCAGGGGGTGAGGTGTTCTTAATGATGAGGGTGGCTGAGGTGTGTCATCACTCACTTTGGTCTGGTCCAGCTACCATCTCTTTAGTGGTGGGTCTCCTTCCTCAGTAGGTGATGTGAAATGCCAACATCTGAACGTTCTGTGTTCCTTAGAGGAGAAGAAAAGTAACATTAGCAAGCTGGCTAAATTATTTTTTACTAGCATCTCGGAGAAGCAGATCTTCACTTACCTAAACATCAGACCAGTTTGTCCCAGCTGAGCTCATCAGGGCTTTAGTCTGACAGCCTGTCAGTGAAACACGGCTCCAGTCTTCTGGATGTTGACTCTAAAAAGCAAAGGAGCATTTTTACTTTTGTTTTACAGCCGATTTTATCAGCTTTCCGACGCTCACGCTCATACAGACGGTGAGCTTTGCTGCGTCTGACTGATAAAGTTAGTTTTTATATCTGCAGTGAGACAAAAAACTAACCTCACTCCACTCAGAGATTGTTCTTTAAAACTATTAAATCCACTGTGTTGACGCACTTTAATGACTTTGTCACGCTGCATTTTAGCTGATATGGGACTTTATTTACTGGATGCTAAGATTACATCACACTCACGTAGAATAACACACAGGCTCTCTGCTGCTACAATCAGTGGGAGGTTATCATCTGGTGTAAAAGAAGGCGTTGATCAGAAATCACGTTTTATTCCACGAAAATCAGCCAAATCCACATTGATCTGGGTGCTAACTTTACTAGCATACTGTGCTAGCGATAGCAAGCCGGATGCTAACGCTTTAGTGCTGCTAATGCCCGTAAATCTAAAGTAAAGTTTGTCGACATTTTAGAGTGATATGAAGCTTACCGCTCTGCTGCTGTGTCCCGGTGCTGCCACATTCAGATGCAAATGACTCATTTTAGATAGATGAAGCCCTCAGTACTTACTAGCCTGGAGACAGGAACGAACGAACCACGCGCACGCGCGCGCGCGCACACACACACACACACAAACAAACACAAACACACTACTTTTTCTTCTGTGTTTTTTTAGCAGTAGTGTCATCAGCTCCTGGGTTTAAATACTGCCACACCACCCTTCCTTAAAACGAGGAACAGTTTTGAGCTGTGTGTGGCTAAAATAACCAGACATTCTGCATTTTTCCAATAGGACTACAAAAAATCTTAGCGAGAAGAAAAAATGGCGGATTGGCTCTGTGTTTAGCCGAGGGCCATTACCATATTTGGTAGTTATCCTGACTAAATTAATTACTGACGTAATGGATAATGTAAAAACTGAACGGGTGGACAAATATGCCCAAAACTTAATTATTAAATATCTAAATAGCAACTCCAGTGAATAATATAAGCCTTTTTGCTCACTTAGACACTTAAAATGTGAAACACACCGTGTTAATGGATAAAAAAGTGGGTTTTTCATGTTATGTCTCACTCTTGCATTCAGGTGTTTAATTGAGTTACTGGTGTAGAGCCACTGTGATTGGACCTCACTGGTTGTAGAGAAGACAAAAACACTCTCAGCATCATGGCGTGGGCCACTGGTTTGGACCTGGAGGTGTTCTGGGCCCTTTGCTCCTCGCTCACAGCAGGGTGGTGGTTTCATCGCTCCACACTAAACTCCTGGTGACTTTTGACCCGACTCTAATTCACTTAAAGCTCTCTCACTAGTGATGCACGGTTGTTATGTAACTGTGTCATATAGCGAACCCGCATTAGAGCCAAGAAACCAGTGCTGTGTAAAGCCTGTAAGAGCTCTGTTGAAATACTTGTTGGAGCTGAAGTCAGTTTGAGTGCATTAGCCATGTGTTGCATCGACCACAGAAAAGGCCTAAAACGCTCCATTAGAGCACCAGTGTGGCTTTAAACTCAGCTACTGAAGACCCTTCTCATCACTGGGGTGATTTGTGACATCTAAGCTAATCATGACTGACGAGTACTCTCCAGTTTAGGGTCAAAGGTTCAAAAGGAATGATGGCAAATGTCGAGGATGATGTAAGTTTGGTGGTGTTCTCTTGGTGGAAAGGGTCGGTTTTTGTTTTCCAAGTGTTCTGATTTGTGTCGGCTGGTGGTCTGGTAGCAGATTCTGCTGCAGGTTTAAAGATTTAAGCGGCTAGGCTTGTTGAACCAAACCTCTGAGGTGTTTATAACTCTATTGGACACAGAAATCCATCAGATTTATCAATGCAACTCCATCAGGATACTTCTGGAAAAACGCATCAGGATCAGAAAGTTTTTTTCATTACGTGTGTATATTTCTCTCTTCCAGGAACACCATCTCCAGAGGGCTATTTCAGCCCAGCAGGTCTACGGCGAGAAACGGGACAACATGGTTATCCCCGTCCCCGAGGCAGAGTGCAACATCACGCACTACGAGTCGCTCTACCCCGGGGAGTTCAGAATGCCAAAGCAGCTCATTCACATACAGCGTGAGTAGCAGGCAACTGGCTTGTGATTAGACTCGGCTACGCACGTGTGTGTGTGGGGGGGGGGCTTTCATTAGACAGATGTTTACAGTGTAGCTCCATTCACAAATTAGTTTGTTTTTCTGGTTCCTGCTTCATGTGCAGGAACAACAGTACTCTGAATAGTACTGTAATTAATACTACTATAATTACTACTGCTACTAATGATAATAAACAGGTTGAAGGGATTTGTTTAAATTAGAGGAAGTCAAAGTGTGATTCTGTCAGACTTTCTGACTCATCCAGTTGGGCCACAAATCTTTAACAATGATTAATATTTTACATATTTTAATAAAGCAGGATTCTTTCTTTTTGTCTTCCAGCTTTCAGTTTGGATACAGAGCAGCCAGACTACGACTTAGACTCCGAGGACGACACGTTTGTGAATAAGCTGAAGAAGAAAATGGAAATCACCCACCTGCAGTTTGAAGAAATGATCGATCGGCTGGAGAAAGGCAGTGGGCAGCAGGTATATGACCACCTTTGGAGGCGCCGTGCACCAGTGGAGTTGCTGCCGCTGGTCTGTAGGGAGTAACACTGGTTTCACACCTGTGAATCAGATGGTGGCTGGGTTCAGATGTAAGGGTTAGCGTCAGAGCTAACGTGTGTCATCATCTGTTTCACCGCAGGGTTCACGGTGGAATCAGATCATGGTCTAATTTACATTTAATATGAAAACATAAACGGGAAATAAATGGGATCTCAGCAAAAAAAAGGGTGAACTGGTGAATTGAGTTTGTTTAGTTCTATAACCCATCCCTCCAGAAGCAGCTGTTTAACTCACTTTGACTCCCAACTCTGCCCCTGCAGCCTGTGAATCTCCAGGAAGCCAAGCTGCTGCTGAAGGAGGACGATGAGCTGATAAAGGAGGTGTTTGACTACTGGAACCGAAAAAGGAAAACTTGTAAAAGTGGCTCCCTCATCCCCAGCGTCAAGCAGGAGAAGAGAGACGGTTCCAGCACCAGCGACCCTTACGTGGCCTTTCGCCGTCGGACGGAAAAGATGCAGACCAGGAAGGTAAACGATCGGCGGTCGTGCGTTTGTCCTCCGAGTCCTTTTGAAATAAACGTATAAATAACTTTAAAAGCAGGCAAACTAATTCATCCCTGTTTTGATTTTAGAATCGAAAGAACGATGAGGCGTCGTACGAGAAGATGCTGAAGCTGCGCAGAGACCTTAGCCGCACCGTCACCATCTTGGAGATGATTAAAAAAAGGGAGAAAGTCAAGAGGGAACTGCTGCACCTCACCCTGGAAGTAGTGGAGAAACGGTACGTGTGAGATGAGCTGCTGTCAGAAAAGCTTTTTTTGGGGGGGGGGGGGTCATGACTGCATACCTCGCACGTCTGTTCGGATAAAAATCCCAAAACAGAGTTGTTTTGGGGAAACCTTGGTTACCGACTCTGGGTTTGTTTAGATATTTGAGGAATGTAAAAATTAGAGCCCGACCGATATTATCGGTCACAGCAAACATGCAGCGGAGCCTCAGGAGCAATTCAGTCAAGCAGAGACGACGGTGATGAGGAGATGAGTCTTCAGTTTTAAGCATATTTGTTGTGTCAGTGGAAAGTTGAACGGTAAAATAAGCAATGACCTATATTTCCCCTCAACATGCTTCCTAAGTTTATTGTCTGCCTCGTGGCCTCGTATTGAAAAGTTATCCTGAAAAAAAAAACTGCTGCAGCATTACGCTCTATGCAGAGCTCACGCTGCTTCCCCTTTAGTCATGCAGGGCAGTAAGTCAGTAACGATGGCCTTTTTCTGGTAGACATTCTGGAATATTCTCAGATTATTGCATCCGCTCTTCTTCAGTGGTCTTTTCAAACTCACACGACCGCTGTCGCTGCTGGGGGGGGGGGGTAATATGACGAGAAAATAAACATTCCTTTCTACAATAGAATAAATCTATTGTGTGTTTTCAGCCTTATATTTTGTATAAGGCTTATATATTGCCACATACTAGTCATTTAACGTATCTTAGTTTTTATTTTTCTAATACTGTTGGCTTTGGGAAGGGTCCAAAATACAAAAGTGTAAAACTCAAAAGTATTTTAATGTCAAAAATCAGGTGACAGAAATAAAAACAGGTAGCTAGGACGCTGAAGCCAGCAGAGTATGACTGAACCTGAACCGTATACGCTGAGGAGTGAGAGATGACAGAGGACTAGTTATGAGGAGGAGCTGTGAGTGGGAGCAGAGTACAGCAGAGGAACATGGGAGGAACTATAAATGCAAATAATTTAAAAGAAGAAGAAGAAAGAAACCTAAAAGGGAAAGAAGAATAACTAGAAAAAAACCTGACAACAAAAGGAGTAGAAAATTCAGTGGAAGGAAAAAAAATTCGACTTGAATACTAAATGAGAAAATTAAGAAAATTTTTATTTTCGTTTCTTTTTTATTGTGAGGGAGATTGATCGGCTGTCAGCCTTTGTTAAAAGTTTTCTATCGGTATCGGTCCCAAACAAGCATTTCGGTCGGGCCCTAGTAAAAATCCTCACAGGTTGGAACAACGTCGGGTTTTTCTGCAGGCTCCTTTGAATCAAACTGAATCGTAATTCTGTGAAATTCGGCTTCGCTTCTCCTGCTAATTGGTTCGTTTCATGCCTGTTATCAATATTTGTTCAGGAATATTCCATCGGGAGTGTGTTGGCTTGTTTACCTCCTTTTGCCAGGGGGTCTGTTGGGTAGCTCTCAACAATATGCTTGTATTATGCAACACGTTGTTGTTTGTTTAGAAACTTTTCTCCCTTTTCTACTTTAGATTGTTATATTTCTTCCTCTCTGTGGAGCGTTTGCCATCCATCCAGACCTGACACCCAAATGGAGTGAATTTCCTCCGAAACTAGCTGTCACTGTGAGCTTAAATTGGACCCTTCTCCTTGAAGTGCTTTTGATTTGTAGTGACATTTCAATTTCCTCTCGTTATCCTGGCCTGGTTTGTGTCTGCGCATCACAGCCAGCGTTGACTCCCAGACCGGACCACTCTGTTCCCAGGAGATGGTTTCTGTGGAGCACTTCACCGTGTTATGACCCAGACAAACCCTCTAGTTTCCTGCTGAGTGTTATTCACCCTAAGAAAACATCATTAGTAACGAGGAGGATAATTGTTATTTTATAGATTTGATCACATTTATCCGACTAGTACTCGTTTTCCTCCCTCAGGAATGTAATGCCAGATTTTGGCAGTGAGGTGATGGCAGAGGCCCTGGCACAGCGGGCTCTGGTGAAGCCCGTTTACACCATCCCCATCATCCCCCTGTCCAACAGCAACCAGTACCGACACCAGGACCACATGGACATGAAGGACTACAAGAAGGTAAGAGCGTGTCCTCAAGTGTTTGTGGGCTTCATCTGTTTTTGATTCATGTGAAAAGCCCGTAAGTGGAAGAGCTCTCGCTTTATTAAGGGTGAAAAACTACGAATGAGTGTAAATGTAAAAAAATAATTAGTTTGATAGCAGGAATACATTTTATTCTGAAAGGACCTGAATCACCCGTTTAAATTTGAATGAATGATTATTTTGAATATTTTACTTTCATTCCAGTTAAAGGAAAGTTTGGTTTCCACAGACAGAACTGTAGGCTCAGTTACCACATCACAAAGCACCATTCAGTACAATCTAAAATACTTCAAATGGCTCATTTATCAGCAGACTGCACAATGCTTAACCTGGCTGTTACTATGGTAACCTTTCATCGCCACAACGCTGGTTTCCTACACCCAACCAGAGGATTAATAACCGTTAAGAGGTTTTTAAACCTTAGTCATTTTCTCTCTGGGGGATGGATCTATGGCGTTTCCTCACATTTTTCCATTTCTACCAAAGTGGTGGTTTGGCCCAAGCGTCTCAGCACCTGTGTTTTTATTTCTGAGCCATCTGATTCGATGGAAGAAGACGGGAGATGAAGTCGTTATGTTCCAAGTCATTTCCTGCCGTAATGAGCTTTTGCTTCCAGCATCAGACACCCTGATGACATCACAGTGGAGACCCAGTAGTGAGTAAATAGGGTTGTGTAATGCTAAATAACTCCTCTGAAACTCTTTCCACCGGTGGTTTATGTCCTCGTCTCTGGCCTCGATCACACCTTGTTTGTGTTTTTGGCCTACCGTACGTTTACCTGCAGACGTTTTAATGACCCCCTCCTCCTTCCATGTGACTGCGATTCGTCCTGCTAGTTTCTCCGTCTCTTGTCTTCTCTGTCCCTGAGCACTCGGGGCTGAAAAGACTCCCGACTAATTCTGGCAGAGTTGGAGTGTGTTCACACAGGGAGGGGTCCACCCACTGGGGAAGTTGGGGTGAAAGGTGGCATGTGGGTGAACAACCGCCATCTGGCTCAGCAGTGGCATCTGGCACGTGCCTTCATCTGCACATCAATGCCTGTTTTAGCCCGCTGTTGTTCCTGCAGACTCCTCAGAATCAGTGCTGTTAACTCCAAATGACTCAGCCGTGTTCTTGTTCTAGTTGGGAAGTTATTTTTAGCATACCAAACGTAAACGTGCTCTTTTCTTGATTTCTTTAAAGCCCGAGAAGGCGGAGGTTGTACGAACCAAAAGGAAATACGAAAAGAAACCCAAAATCTCTCCGCTGTCTGCACCTCAGCATTCAGGACCCTCTGTGTTCAGTCCCAAGGACCTCAACCAGTACGATTTTCCCAGCTCGGACGAAGAACCATATTCACAGGTGCTTTATTCCAGGCCAAGTGTGTCTGTTTGGTTTAGAAGAAGAGATCATGAGCTGAAGTTTGTGTTTCTGTTTAGATCCATTCAGGTTCCTCAGAGGCGGAGGAGGAGAGCGACCCAGATGGCTGCTATGCGTTCAGGAGGAAGGCGGGCTGTCAGTATTACTCTGTAAGCGGCCTCCTGTGACTCCCGTGTTTCTATTTTTAGCGCCGACTGCAGGCTACCCGTTAGCTTCAGACACTCTGCCTGACCAAACAAAACACAATTGGCCGTGCCTTCTCTCCCATTTTAGTGATTAATCTCGTCTTCCTCTTTCTTCAGCCTCGTCCGGATAAGAGTGGCAGCTGGCCATGGGTGAGCCCATCCGAGGGCGGGATCGGGGACCTGCGCTTCCGCTACTGTCCGACCTCGCTTAGCACGCCGCGGCACTGCGTTGGTTTGGCACGGCGCCGTGTGGGCAGAGGCGGAAGGTGAGTCGGGGTTTCCCGTTTGACTCATGAAAACCAGAACATTTAAATGTTTCCAGGATTTTATAATTTAGTCAGATCAAATCTATTTCAGTCTGCTTTGGTCTGTTGTTTGTTACATGAAGAACACTGGTGGAAAAATGACACATTCTGATCTAAAAAGTAGAAATGTGAAATATCTGCCAGCTTGTGTCCCGGACAGCAGAGATTCAGGACTTGGCTCTAGCTGCTGGAGTTGTTTAGCATACCAGCTCTCTGGCTGCCTCCCAGCACCCGTTTGGCACCCACACTCTACTGTAAATATCAGTCTGGCTGCTGAAACGATGACAATCCTAATGTGGGAAATAACCTGTCGCCATAGCCTGGAGGCAGTAAAAAAAAAAACATGGCTTCTTCTGAGTCTCAGTTGCGTCGTGACCCCCCCCCCCTGAGTAAAACCTACGACCCGTCGGGAGTCTTTGAGTGTTCGTGGTGCCAGCTGTTAAAAAAACATCTGGGTTATTTATGGGCTGCCTCAGAGAGACACGATGTTCTGTTTCTGTGTACAGCGGCCTTTTATCAGCCGGCCCTAGGGAGACGAGAACGTCCTCGTCACTCTAATCTGGTCGTTGCTCCTGATTTACTTAGGAAATAATGAGCTTGTAGCGTCTGACAGTACACTCCAAGCAGTCGGTCCATTTATTGATGTTTCTGATTTCACAGTTGAGTGTTCCGACCTGTGTGTGTGTGTGTGTGTGTGTGTGTGTGTGTGTGTGTGTGTGTGTGTGTGTGTGTGTGTGTGTGTGTGTGTGTGTGTGTGTGTGTGTGTGTGTGTGTGTGGTTCTTTGCTGGCATTTATATAAATGTTATAAATTATTTTTGGAATTGCTTCTTTATAACAGAAACTTTTTCCCACTGAAAGAGTTCTGGGAAATTTCTGGGATAAGGAAAAGAGACTGGGAGTCATGAGCCGCTGTGTCTCCATGCAAAATCATCCCTTTCAGGACTCCGGAGTGAATGATGTCACTGATCAGCGCCAAAAGGCGCCTGCGGACATAAAGTTTAACCCAATCTCAATACTCGCACTTGCACCCTTGCGCCTTTCAGTTGCACGTTCCTGGCCAGAGGTGCGAGTGCGTAGGGTGTCTCGATTCTCAAGTGCGGAAGTTGACAACTCTTAACTCATTCGCTGCCAGCATTCGCTGCCAGCCGTTTCCTGATCAGTAAGGCCCTTCGCTGCCATCGTTTCTCGACATTTTTACTGTTTTTTTTTTTTTTTAAGAGCGAGAGAACGTTGCACGCTAGCATGATGTCGACGCCAAAACAAAGAGGAGACTCACCTCTTACATCAGGAAGAATCTGTGCATTTCGAGCGTTATCCGTTCTTTCATAATCCGTTGTTGAATTGTGATCGGCAGAAGCTTTTACGGTTCGCGCCTCAGTTTCTTTTACAGGAACGGCCCAAAACAATCTAACACGTGGATTTTCTGCTTCCTGATCACGTGACATGTGACGTATGTGGATGAAGATCGGCTTCAGAGCTGAGATGTTTGTTCTCTCGGCGCGGGGGCTCGTTCTGACGCCCACACAGTAAAAAAAAAAGCATTGGCAGTGAATGAGTTAATCTGCACTTCACCCAAGTCCGCAGCGATGCGGACCTCGGGCAAGGAAATTACCCACAATTCATTGCTGCGGGAGAAAAGGTTCCTTTTCTGAAAATATGTATTTTCTAATAAAATTAGCTAATTTTAGGACGATTGTTTGATACTCTGAATGTTTTAGACAAAGCAGCAATAATTCAAATTTATTTCAAATAATTGCTTTAATTGTTTGTTTAAAAGTTGTTAATAAGGGTTTTTGACAAGTTTCACAGCGACCAGCATCCCGGCACGCGTTGCGATCGATGACGTAATGCTCCCCGTCTCAATTCCGCAATTATTTGCACACTTGTGCACTACGCACTCGAACACTACTTCGCAGTTTCTCCAAGTGCACTTTGCTGAAGTCCGCAGGGCGCAGTGCGAGTATTGAGATTGGGCCTTAAACTACCATTAGTCGTCACTAGGGCTGTCGCGGTAACCGCAAAAATGAAATATCGCGATATGAAGAAGCCCACCGCGCTGCATCATGCGCCACCGCGATTACTGAACTTGGTTCAACTCAATGATGCATGTTGAGAAGGATGGCTGCACTGGTATCAAAACGAAACGTTACTTCGCTCCTTTGGGAGCACTTTGGTTTTCAGTACGTCAGCTGCTGCGCAGCCAGAGTCCTTGGCCGAGACGGAGCTGCCACCAGCGACAAAAATAAATAAATAAATAAACGCTCGGAGACCTGCTGAAGTCCCGGACAAGCACTGCTTCTGCAGCCGTCCCGAAGAGAGTTTGAGCCGAGCTGGAGCTCACTCGCTACCTGCAGGAGGAATGCATCCACCCTAAGCCGGGCGTACACTGTGCGACTTTTTCACTTTTTTGAGCCGATTTTCCAGTCGTGCGAGAATCCACGACATCGGGGCGAGTTTTGCGCCGAGCGGTCGTGTAGTGTACAGGGGGTTACGAGAGGCGATTAACACCACGTGACCAGCCGCCGATCAGCAGTCGTGAGGTCGCAGGGACTTCTGGTGTGTTTAATATTTCGCTCGTCCCTCGTGAGGGTATCGCACTGTTGAAGCGGCGCTGCGAGCAGCTACGATCCAAAAAGTATCAGAACCGCTCACGGCGCATGCGCAATCCTGCATCAACGCCGGCCGGTCGCTCGCTATTTCCCTAATTACACACGCTGTTCGTTTTTGTTTCTACACGTTTTTTTACTCACAAAGATTGTCAAGAAAGCGTGTTTGTCGTGTTCGTGTCAAATTAAACTGATCACAAAACACAGATTTACTTTATTTCGTTTTCCTCATCCAACCCCCATAAATCCCCGTGTGTCCTCCTGCAGCACTCCCGAAGGACAACAGGCAAGACAAAAAAGTCTGACGTGTTGAGTAAAAACTGCTATTTTTAGCACATTTTTAGGGCCGACTTGTTGCTACCAGACATACAGTGTGAGCAGTCAGGTCGCATTCGAGAACTGGGTCGTGCAGTGTGAGCGCATGACTCGTGAGATCTGCTCTGCGAGGAAGTCGTACAGTTTGAGCTGAAGCTGAACGCTGCGAGTGAAAAAGTCGCACAGTGTCCGCCCGGCTTAAAGAAAACCCCCGTGACACGGTGGAGCAACAACCGGGAGGGATTCCCTTTGCTTGTCAGAGTTGCACGCAGGTACGTGTGCGTTAGTGCAACAAGCGCACCATCTGAGAGGGTTTTCAGTGTTGCTGCAAATGTTGCCACCCCTCTCAGATCCTCTCTCAAACCGTAGTTAACATGCTGGTTTTCCTTGTAGGTAACAAGGACGTGACCGAGCTATAAATCACCGTCATTCGTGTGTGTGAAAGTGAAATGATAGTGCGCCCGCCCCCCGGCGCGCGCGCGCCCGGTACATGTAATTTTTTATGCTTGATTTTAAACAACTAAACAAAATGGGGACTTGTTTCTTATGTGTTAGATGCTGCAGCCAAATTTGCATTTAAAAGTTTAACCTTCTCCTGAATTTTGTTGTTTTTAAGTTCAGTCGGACTCCGACTGTCGGAGAAACAAACGTTACTGCGATCTGTGTTGTTACTGCCCTTTGATCTGCATTCAGTAAAGTGTTATTTAAGAAGGCACGGCAATTTTTAACCTTTTTTAAATGTGTAAACATTATGTTTAGATAGTACTGCAATAAAAAAGGGCTGCAATAATATCGCACACCGCAATATTAAGCCACCCTGAATCACCGCAGGGGGAATTCCTCAACCGCGACAGCCCTAGTCGTCACGCACTCTGGTGATATTCATCTCCGCATGTGACCCATCCCTGTGGAGAGCAGTGAGCTGCAGCTGTGGCCGCGCTCTGGGACCATATGTTGGTAACCCCCCCCCCCCCATCCATCCAACCCCTTAAAGCCGAGTGTCAAGCAGGGAGGCATTGGGTCCCATTGTTAGTCTTTGGTATGACTCGACCAGGATTTTAACCCCGATCTCTCCATCCCAGGGCCGACATGAATAACATTAAGTTTTATTCTGTCATTGTAATTCAATCTGTTCAGAGATCAGGAGTGCGTCTAAAGCAGCGTCCCGATTATAACTAAACTATTTAAGTTACAATGAGATTTGAACGGCCCAGCAGACACAGGCAGACCATCAGGCGTCCAAGTTTGTGTTTGAAAATCCTAAAATATGTTTTAAGCTCGTCTCCCTCTTTGAAAAACATTATCAAAGAAAGTGGTTGTTTTACTACAACTACTGTAGTTTTTAGCGCTCTCGTGTTTTGATTGACAGTTAAGCGGACCAATGGTTCAGATGATCCAGAAGAAAAAGATCCTTTGCTATACCTTTACCTTTTGTGTCCTAAGTTTGAGTCTTAGCTTCATTTTATGTTTTTAGTAGCATCCTATATATTTAATTTATCCTATTTTTATCTTTTTGCTGTTCAGCCCTGTGTGTAAAAGCGCTTTATAAATAAATTTAGTAGCCCTAGCACATGTTTACTTCATCTTTTTATTCACAATGTCAGAGATTTAACTTCCTTTTTTTTAAAAACTTTCACAGTAAAAGCCCCTAGGAAAAGAACATTCAATTCAATTCAATTCAAAAAATACTTTATTAATCCCAGAGGGAAATTGATTAAATGAAGTTAAAAGAAAAATATGAACATTTATTTATTTTTCCCTGCAGAAGCTGGTTAAATGTTTGTTTTTAGCACCAAGTGCACATTGTTGTAGAGATTTAATGCTTCCTGTCGTTAAGTTCAAACTAAGGGATTTTTGCCTCATCAGCAAAGAGGTGATCAGCTGTTCTGGTGTTTTTGCTTGCCTGTGGTACGAGGTCGTTGTGTGACAGTAAAATCCAGTGTTCTGGTTTAAGACCATTTTAGCACATTTTTACCTAAACCACGCGCCAGGAATAACCAGATGTTGTAATTCTCTCTGAAGCACATTTTCATGATGTGACATCACGTTCTTCAGCAGCTCTCTTGTTGTTTCTGCTTGGTTCCAGAATCTTGTTGGACCGCGCATACGCAGGTGAAGACGGCACCCAGAGCCTGGACTCGGACCAAGAGCCAGAACCACTCGCCTCACCACTTCTAAGCTCTTCACTCTGCAACTCCAGTACCTCAGAAAACATTACCTCGGACTCTACCAGCTCCTCCAACCTTTTCACATCGCCATCGCCCCGGTCTTCGACAACGCCCGTGGACCTCAGTCGAATTCTTTTGAACATTAAGTCTTGCCGCTGGAGGCATTTCAGACCCCGGACGCTATCCCATCACCCTTTGGGTGGAGGAGCATTATCTGGAGGAGGATTTAGGGACAGTAGGCGGACTATATCGGGACTAACTCAGATCGTGTCTGCTGGACAGAACCGAAGGGGTCCGGCCACCGCTCCTATCAATGGTGAGTTGGTTATTTCTTATATCTCGCTGGCATCACAGCAAGCTGATTTAATATCATTCAGGAACTATTTATTGTGTCTGATTGTCTTCTGGTGTGATTAAAAGGATGATTTGAGCTCATTTCATTTGGAAATTGGTTTATTTCAAATTCATATAAAAAATACTTTATTAATCCCAGAGGGAAATTGATTAGAACCGTTTTTCTTGAGAAACTAGAAGAAAAAATGTCAACTTGCATATAGTCAACAGAGCTACTCCAACATGCAGCCACCCAGAGCAGCGCGGTTCCGGAATTTGAATCTTCAGTAGCATTGGGGCTTGTTGTGGGATGGATTAGCTTATATCTCCTGGTTTGCAGATGTTTCTCTGCCTTTACACACTCTCTCTCTCTCTCTCTCTGTCCTGTTTACATTTGTATCTAAATTTGAGTAACTGCTATGATTAGGGATGTACGTAGTTAACCGGTTAATTGCTGTTAATGTTGTAACCGGGTAAAATAGTTTAGTCCAGTTGACTGCTTCAAGTCCTTCTGCTGTGCTGGGTGCAATGTATATTTGTGCACTAGAGGGTGCAAGAGTGCCGTTATCAAATATGTTTACTGGGCGACCGCAGAAGAAGAAACGAGCTGTTACATTACTAAACAAATGTGATCAAACACTAAGCGGTTAGCAAAGAGCCAGCGTTGGAGCAGTTTGTTCTTAGTTATTTCATTTTTGGAACACAATAAGTGTCACATCATAGCGCTGAGCCTGGCAGAATAACCAAACTGATCTGAGACCAGCAACAGGTCGGTGTGCCGTGACGTTTGTCTGACTCCTGATTTGTCTAGTAAAATATAGAAATGTCAGTGTAGTTATTTAGTTCAGTGTAACAAAGCTTTTATAGGATCATTTAAACCTGGGTTTGTTCAGTTTAAGTAAAGAACTTCAGATTCATTTATTTGAAACAAACCAGCAGTTGTTTGATCCAGGATGCTGATGAGGATTTTGCTTGAAGACTAAGGGAACTAACTATAGAGGGACCTTTTAATAATTAAATAAAGATATTCTACAAAATGAGATTAAAGTTTAATTTATTCAGTTATGAAGTTTCTCACCTCACCCTCCTCTGTTATGAAGTTTCTGGACAAACAAATTAAAAGTACGAAATAAAAAACTTGGCTTAAAAGTGCTGCAGAACCAATAAATAAGATTGCTTTATTTTATTTTGTAAATTGCTGTAAAGAATTTTTGTTTGTTTTGCATTTTAGTGTGAGACTGGTATATGTTTGTGTGTGTGGGAGGGGCTAGTGCCAGCTAGGTGCGTTAGCCACTTTAGTTAGTGTATCCATGGGTAGAGCTGAGTACCTCTTAGGTACAGACTGAAAACATTGGGTAGGTTCTGGTACCGGTAGGAATGTCCCGATATTACTTTTTCACTTCCGATACAATACGCATCCTTCAGTATTGACCGATACAGATACCAGCACAAATCCTACATACTTTAACCTATTTCGTAGTGTGGAATGTATGAAAGGCTTGATCAACTGGAATTATTTATCAGAGAACAAGAGCCAATAACAGGAAGTATGAAAAAAATGGTATTTTTTTACCATTGGTTGCAGTAATGTGCAACTGAACGGATTTGCTTATATCAGAGATTTTTGATGCCGTCCGATATAATCTGATGCACTGTTTTTGGGCCGATATCGAATTACTTCCGATATTGATATCGCATTGGAACATCCCTGGGTATCGATGCTACTATCAGTGTTCCTTTCCCAATAAAATGTCCCTGTTGTGCCTCAAAGATCCATTCTTGCACCTCAGCGTGTCAGATGATTTGCATCTCAGTCACATGACTGAGTAGGGTGTTAAATTTGATCAAAGTGGCCTTTATAAGGTCTAGGAATGACTTTTATTGCAGCACAGACCGGAACTGCAACAGTTAGAACAAATTGGCCCTCGGAGGATTCAGATTATTAAAGAAATAACATTTAGCAGTATTTGTTGTCTGTTTTTACCAAATTAAGTTAATGAATTCAAGCCTCGTTGGCCTGCTTGTTCTGACTGGAACCATCGGCTATGATTTATACTTTTAAAAGGTTTTTACTCTGGTCCGGCCAATATGCTTTTTATTGGGGGGGGGGGGGGGGGACCGATACCGATATAAAACTCTTAACAAAGGCCGATAGCCGATATAATGGCCGATAAATCTCCCTCACAAAAAAGAAATAAAATTTTCTTAAGCTTAAACCCTTCATTCTCTGCCTTTTTGATGCAAACTTATTTCTCTATTACACACCAAAGAACTGTCTCCATAACTCACTCGGGTTTCCAAATAAGATTTATTTAGCAGATCTCAAAAACAACAGAGCACAAAGTCAGTCACAGCATAAATCTAACATTCACATTTTTTCTTGTAAACTGTGGTTTCCACAAATGCATTTTAACTTAAAGGAATATTCCACCACTCAGTAAAACTGTCTTGTTAAGATTCCCCAGAGTTAGACAAGCATTTTATAACCAGCCCGACATGATCTGGCAGCAGTTGGTTTTCTTAGTTTAGCACAAAACAATGTAAGTGAATTCACAAACACTGTAGTGTTTTTATGTAGGCGAATGCTAGCCTTCCCTTCCATTGCTTTATGCTAAACAACTGGTTACAACATGTTTTTTCTGACTTGGCTAACTCTGGTGAATCTAATGGGCCATTCCCATCTGTACCGGGTCGGGCCGGGTAGCGTAGGTTGTTTACATATCTGGATGGCCTGGTATTTTTCTGGGCCAACCAAGGCTCATTCTCAGCCCTCTTTTCGAGGGGGTCTGCTTCAGGCCGACCAGGGCCAACACACCCACTGCTGAAAGCAAATTCACACCTTCCATTAGAGCACGCCTCTGATTGGTGGGTAGAATCAGCCCACATGGGCTTAAGACAAGGATGTGTGGAATCAACCGGGCCAGGCTGGGGCCGACTGGGGCTACCCGGCCTGGGCCGACCCGGTACAGATGGGAATGGCCCAAAACAACACACACAAGTTTAGGGACAGAAGATCCCTGTAAGAATAATGAAATAATAAAAATGCAGCAATAAATAAACCGTAATACTTGTGCTTTGTAACAAAGTAACACTCTGTGGAAGTTAACTTGGTGAACGTATTCACCCTAGACAGGAAATAATTGCACATAAGAAATATAAATACGAATAAATTAAAAAAAAGTTCCAAAACAATAATTTGTTAATTACAGCTGTTATGCGTGTTTTTAACTATGAAGTCCTTCATGTAGAACGTTATTTCACAATAACTTGGGCAAAAACAAAATCAAACCAAACAAAGTCCTAGTCTTGACTCTTGGCAGCAGTTCCATTCTCTAATAATATGCTGCGGCAGTTATTTTTTAATTTAATTTAATTTTAATTTTTTCCTTCTTTCAGGATAACTTTTCAATACGAGGCACACAATAAACTTAGGAAGCATGTTGCGGGGAAATTTACTTTAGTCATTGCTTATTTTACTGTTCAACTTATCACTGACTCAACAAATATGCTTAAAACTGAAGACTCATCTCCTACTTCCTCATCACCGTCGTCTCTGCTTGACTGCGTTGCTCCTGCTGCTCCGCTGCATGTGTGCTGTGACGGCTGCTGCGGAGTGGAGCCACACAACAGGAGTTCATAAAACACAATATCGGCCGTCTTTTTGTTCGATGTTGTTAATCACCCCAGTATCGGGCCCTAGTTTTTACCAACCATTTCCTCCAGCAGCACCACATCAGAAGCCTGTGTTCATTCATTTTTTGTTCCACCTCTTGTAGGGTTGTCACGGTATGAAAATTTAACCTCACGGTTATTGTGACCAAAATTATCACGGTTTTCGGTATTATCGCGGTATTTTTTAAACGGTGTTGCATATGTTCAGAAAGCATTGATAGTCCTGTTCTACACAAACTGAAATAGTTCTGAAAAGGTTTAACAGTGTTTATTAAACCTAAAATAACACAAAGCCTTAGCAAAAGTGCAACTTTTCACAAGTAAAGGAACAAATAGCTTATTTTTCTGGAACATGTTACAGTAGTCAGTGCAGGTTTAAATTATACAAATCCAAACATTCGAAACATAAACAATATGTAAACAAATCAAAGAAACACCACTTGTTTTCTCATATACTTGTTTTCTTCATTATCAAAATGAAAATCTAAAACTCCAGTCCACACTTGACTTGAGCACTGTACAAGTCAACCTTAAAAAATATGTATTTAAAACAAACTTTAAACAAATTACTAAAATAACTACTACACTATGTAATCAAATCCAAATGTTCAAGTATAAATGGCACTGAATAAGTAAACAAATCAATGACAAGGAACTAATTGTATATTTCTCTTCATCATCAACAAATAAGATGCTTCATCCAGCAACAGGGTGTCCGTGACACGGTTTAAATGCTGGCAGAGGACGCTGCGGCTGCAGTATATAGTGACTCGTTGCATTCTCCCTCAGCCAAAAGTCCTCACGTCATGCATTTAAGCTAAAATGCTAATGTTAACTTACCTTGCACTGGCTGTAGAGACGTGGGTGATCGTCACACAGATGTGCCTTTAGATTCGAAGTGTTGCTGCCTTTTGCAGACACTTGTTTCCTGCACGTTCTGCAAACGGGATAGCCGTCTTCTATTAACTGTCCCTCAGCGTTTTCAGAAATCCAAAATATGCCCATACTTCCGATTTAGTCTTCTTTGAGGGCTGATGGATGTCCTGGGCGCTGCCGTCTCCTCCTTCGGCCATTATTTCAGCTTCAAAGTTTTGGTGCCGTTGCAAATTAAAAAGTGCGTGTGCGCGCCGCGGGAACTTCAGCTGAAGCGACGGTGGCTGGTAAGGGTCATCGCGCCGAAACCGCGGCCACGGTAAACCCACCGAGATAATATAGTTTTTTAAAAACTGGACGGTTATTTTTATTGTCAACTTTTTTACCGGGGTTTACCGCTATACCGGTTACCGTGACAACCCTAACCTCTTGCAGCTTGCTGCTAATTCTGCTAGTAAATCTTTGGTGTTGTGATTGAAACATTTGCTCTTGAACTTCTAACGTAAACAGAGTTGATTTTTCTGCCGCTTTGGTGCAGCTGAACTCCAGAGAGTGACTGTTGGTTTTGAGCATGTCAGGATGTGGTTTATTTAGCGAAGTCACTACGAGTCGGTTGTTGGACACGACCACCGTGGACGCTGCAGAAAAGCTTTTAGGTCAGTTCTGATTCAGCAGCGATCGCTCCTGCTCTCACTGTAACAGACGTGTTTGAATAAAGACAACCCGATGCTCCACTTGTATATTAAATCTTTAGTCTAAATCTAAGTTTATCTTTTGTCTCTAAAGTCTCTGATAAGAGTTTAGTTTTTGTGTCAAATGTTTTAGAACTTGTTCTGTTTTATTAGTTTAACTTGCATCAATCGTAGATACTGGAACCTAAAGGCCTAGAACGTCCTAAATGGAGTAAATATTTGACAGAGCTGGACATTCAACACTAGGAATGTAAGAAAATATTGATATGGCAATATATCGTGATATATTGCATCGTCTCCCCTGTATTGATACGTATCGTATCACCAGAATTTCACCAGTACACTTCCCTAGTCAGCACTTCAGCCACATCTCAGTAATAGAACCAGCTGTTGTAATGCTAGCCCGTCATCGGCAGGTTAGTGGACACATAAATGAGGATTGATCTGGTTTTGATTTAGTTTTCAAGTCTTCAGTTTTAAGCTGCTAAAGCGAGTGAAGTCCTCTAAAAGTGGTTCTGGGTTACTCAGCCCAACGTGTCGTGCGGCTCTGACCCGTGTGACTCGTCTGTTTCTGCAGTGTTCACAGCTGAGCAGTACCAGCAGCATCGGGAGCAGCTGGCTCTCATGCAGAAACAGCAGCTGGAGCAAAGTCAGCAACAACAGACCAACAGCTCCACGACGGCTCCAAACACGCAGGTCAGTCTGAGAAACTTTTACGACCTCACTTGGTTCTTTTGACTCTTTCTGACCGAGGTAAAGAAAACGTGTCACCCATCATCAGGAATCGGAACTCATCCTCCTCACATCTAGTGTTCATCTCTGGATCTGTTCCTGTTTGGCAGCAGATGTGCTGAGCTCAGATCTTTAAGGAGCTTACTGATTTTTAACCAGAATAGAAAAGTTCTGACTTAGACCCGCTTGTTTCCTCCATTAAGGCCCTCGTGTCCAAGACGCTGGACCAGGCCAGTGCCCAGTTTGCTGCTTCAGCCCTCATCACCACGGATCAGCTGCTTGGTTTCAAATCCAAAGAGGAGTTGGTGCTGGCGAGCGGAGTCAACGGGGTTCTGACGAGTGCCGGTGAGTTTGGTAGATGACGGCTTTTACTTGTTGGAGGAAAAAAAATAAAATCAAATTTAAATTACTGGTTAAAATCATGAATGAGAGGTTTTGATGCTTTTATTTTTATTCCTGCGAGGAGTTGAGTCATTAGATCACTTTCTTGTATTCATTGTTTATTTTTGCTGTTTTAGTTTTTAACATTCATGTCTCTTGTTTGAAAATAGATTTCATGCTACGTCCTTTTATCAACACCTGAAGTTCAGCAGTTTGCTGCTGTTGATGATGTTTATGCTTGTGCACAAACAGGAAACACTAAAAGGGCCCACGGGCCGTCTTAGCCTAAAGCCATTTCTCCAAGCTGAGGCCGTTCAGGAAGCCGTAGAAAGGTGCCTGAAAAATCACGGGGACACCCGTGAGGGTTTGAGAAGATGAAAACATGAAAGTTTGCTGATTTTTCATTTAAATGCGTGCGTCCCCTCGGCCCTCGCTCACTTGGTGTGTGAGCGGAACACGAAACAAACCCGAGTGAATTCGTCGACGTCTCCCAGCAGCGCTGCAGTTACAGTAGTGATGCTTCATCGCTTACGGAGTCGGCAAGAGCCAGATCGGCCTCCAGGCGCGATGCTTTGCAGTCTTGGTGGTCCGGATTGCGTAGACATGCCTCATCTGCAGTTAGTCTGACACGAGTCTTGAGTTTGGAAAACAAATATAGGAAATAAAGCCTTCCTGTTTCCGTTTGCATTTCCAACAGCTGCTCTTTGTTCACCAGGTGTTTTCAAAAACCTGCACCTCACCAGCACCATGGCGACGCTCCACCAGACCAACCAGTCCACACACACTTCCGCTGTCACCGCCCAGACGTTCCTGCAGCCCTCCAACTCCAACATCCTGGCACCTGCCGCCGTCATTCCCACCGCCCCCGGCGCTAACACCGCTGCTGCTCTGGGCCTCCTGGGATGCAGCGCCACCGCCCCTGCCACCACTCAGGTCCTCATCGGGAACAACATCTGTCTGAGCATGCAGTCGGCCGCCAGCCTCGCCGGGCGCCACATCCCCCGGACCCTCGGCAATATGCCAGCCTCTGCCTTAAAGCTGTCCACCTCCACCAACCTGCAGATGCCCAAAGTCTCCGGAGCGTCATCCATGGACATGGGCTCCAGGTGAGGTTCAACATCCGGATCCTTTCGGTCAGTTTAGATGATATTGTGTTTGTTTGTTTGGTTTGATGTTCCAGGACAAAGGGAAATCTGGAATATTCACCTCAGTCTGGACCCGTTTAAGGACATAGTTGAAATAAAACATCTGTGAAGTCGGGTTTTCTGTTTGTAGCGTTTAAGATATCATGAAAACCAACTTATCTGCAAGAAATACCAGAAGGAACAGACGAATCTGGTTTATTTCAGAGTCCTGGACTAGTTTTTGCAGAAATCCTTTTTAAAAAAATCTCCTGCGTCAGCACAAACTTCAGCAGAGACGCCACATTGACAGATTTAGTGTGAAGCAGCACAAGTTCACTTTGTCCTCTCCTCCTTTGAGGCTGTAGGATTTACAGTCGTGATGCGTGTGTGTGTGTGTGTGTGTTTGTGTGTTTGTGTGTGTGTTCCATTCATCCGAACATCACAGAACTGCACCAAAACCACAGACCAGGCAAATTGAGCTTTATTATAGCAGCGAGTATGAATGAGACATTTCACAACTAAATATTCATAAATGTGGCGCTCTTGTCCCACAGAGATAATCATGACGAAGACAAGCCAGCACTGAACAGTTTAGCAGACAACACAGTGGCCATGGAGGTGACGTAGCATCAGGAATGCGACCGGAACGGCAGGACTCGGATGCAGACTGGCAGCCTCTCGCTCGCAATTCTCATCTCTCATACTTTTTTACATCTTTTTCTTTGTTTTGTTACTGTTGAAAGTGAAATATTGACTCATGTAAACTATAAATATCACAAAATGACTTATGTGTACAGTAACTACATATTTGTAATATTCCCCATGTGTATATATTACTTGAATACAGAATTGTCCATTGTGATGTTTTGCACTTGGGAGTCAAACCTAAAGGATAAAAAACGGAGTAAGCCAAGTAGAGTCGTGAGTGTGAGATGTGAGAGTTGTATAGAGAAGAGTTTTATCATGTGCATGGTGCGGAGCCTGCTGTTTTTATCTATTTATTGTGCCGTGTTTACATTTTTATTTTTTGTAATTTTTTTGGTTGGGTTTATTTTGATTTGTACACTGTACCTTTGTTGGTTCCTGTGCTGTAGTCAATGTTCGGTAGCTACGGACTCCTAGGTATTTTTGTGAACACAAGGCAGGTTCCACCCCCCACCCGTTTATTTCAGGTCCCCGTGCTTTTTTCTCTCTGTGGATGGCGTGAAGGTCGGTGACATCCCGGAGGAGGAGGAGGAGGAGGAGTCCCAACACGATCCCAAACACAAGTAACAAAACAGGGATGAAGTCTCTTCCCAGAAGCCCACTGCTTCTGATTCAAGCACTAAATTTTGTGATTTTTTCTTTCTTTTTCAATGCGGCTTTTGTATTTTTTTAAAGGGGTCGTCCTTCATTTTCATGCAAGCAGAGTCTATTTGTTTTCTCAGATGTTTTTGTAAAACAGAAAAATATATATATATTTTTGTATTTTTGTTTTTCCTCGTGGTTACCTTGATTGTAAACGTTTTGATTTACTGAAAGACTTCATTCTTTTGCTCATGTGTTACTTGTTGGTGCATAGGCGATAAGGGAGCTGAACGGGCAGTTATCACTGTGCATCTTTCATCATTCCAGTTTTTAAAAATACAAGAAAGAGAAAAAATATATTGAGGGGCTGAAGAAAATTTTATTTTCCTCACTCCCTTTCTTTTTTTTTTTCTTTGTAAAAATAATCTCCAGATGGCTGCAGGGCCAAAAAAAAACAAAAAAAAGAACGACAATACCACAAGCATTTGGGTGCCTTCCTTTGGGGAAATGTATATACTCTCTTCTGTGAAGAGTTAGGCACAAAGGCAGCATTACTTAGTAGTGCCACGCGTCTTTGTCAGAATCTGAATGCCCAGTCCAATGGCAGAGTATATCCTTGAAGTTTACTTGTCCCACCTGGAGGCTGAAATAACTTTAAAAAAATGTGACCGAACTCACTAAAACAAGACAATAAAGCCCAGGGCATTAAATGTGAAACTGTTCAGTCTCCGTGTCTGCTTTGTTTGCATCTCTCAGGGTATCCGCAGGTCCTTAAAAAGGCTTAAATTAGCATTTCCATATTTAAGGCCTTGAAAATCCTTAAAAATGACAAATAATCTTTAAATACAGTTTCCAAAGGTCTTAAATTACCAAAGACCCAATAAATATGATTATTTTATTTCTATAACATTTTTGTAATTTTCTAGTTGGTATTAAGCATTTTTTGTGTATGATATTGATATTAGTGGAACCGTACACATTCAGTTGGTTGTGATAGGGGGCTATTTTTAGATGAGCTTAGTAAGCTAGTGGGAGCTTGCGCCATGGGTAAATGCAAGTTTAATAGTAACTGGATGGTTAATCCCACGTAGCTGGAAATTATATCAAATTTAATTTAAAAAAAGCTTAAATTTGGACCTGGAAAACAGGTCTCCCACAAGCCGATAGTGGGAACCCAGCTCCACCAACATGTTATATTTCAACCCATTTTCTAAAGTGCAGCATTGTTAAAACAGTACATGTTAAAATCTAAGTTCAGCTTGACAGTGACCTAAAATAAATAAATATAATTTTACCGAAAAAAATGAAGTGGAGACTCCTTGGATGCTCTATTAGTGCAATTAATACCACAGCAAGTCATTTTGTCCAACAATTGTACAAAAAATATCCAAAACAGAATACACAAACACAGAGACTCAAAGTCCCGGAGCAGTTTCCAGGCCAGACCGAGGCTCTACTGAGGCCTTTCCATGCAGCTAGCTCTGTGGTCACGTGGGTCTGATGCTCATTAATTTATACAGAATTTTAGATTTTTAATACACTTAAACAGAAGAGTGAGAAAAAAATTCACCCCCCTCAGAGTTGTCATGAGTGTAAACTAGATCATTTAAACCAAAAACATGTTTTGGAACCAGGCTGTAAACATGTTTATTTCTGCTGTGAAATTGGTATTTTTAACATGGGAGTCAATGAGGATTTGCTCGCTTCTGACACCAGCCCCTAGTGGATGAGGGTGGAACTACAATTTTTGTCACTTCAGCGTTGGCCTCAATTTTTCACCCGCATTGTGGGGGCTTGGTTGAACAGCAGCGCGAAAGGAAGGCTGCAAGTTTGTCCCAAATTTTCTTTTAAAAGTCACTCTCAGAATTTCAAAATGAGCCGAAATAATGTTCTGAAGCCGGCTAAACTCCTTTTACCTGGTGGGAAGAAGGATGCGAGCAAATCTCCAGGTGATATCACTCAAGTTGTTATTGTTATTGTGGTTAGCCTCAAGGGCAACATGCCGATTATCACTTGTAAGTCGCTTTGGACAAAAGCGTCTGCTAAATACATAAACATAAATACATAAACATAATGTCGACTGAAGAGGAACCACCGCTGGCGAAGCAGGCCTATGACCACGACTATGCTATGGTGGATAGCATGGCTATGCTAACCAAGCGCAAGGAAACTGGATCTGCCCCGCTGACGCCAAAAAAGCCTCCCGCCGGCAACAAAAGCAAAGGAGAAATGGAGATCTCTAACCAGACCATCCTAGAAGCTATTCAAGGTATGGGTAAAAATTTTGACGAATTAAAGGAACATTCCAAACAAAAGACTAGCATGTTAGCGTCTCTGTCAAATTTAACACTGACGAAGTGAAGAACTGTAAGAAGAAAATTCTGGAATTAGAGAAACAGAATCAAGTTATGAAAAAGGAAAACAAAGAACTCAAAGAGTCAGAACAAGAAAGATACAAGATGCGGTGGTGCCTGAAGCTGAAAGGCATGGAGGAGAAAGCTGATGAAAACTTTCGTGCCGACACCATTCAGCTCTTCAAACAGATTGCTCCAAACCTAGAGCTACACCAGCTGTAAGACACTGCGGACGTCGTTCATAGAGTCGGAAAAAAGAGCAACCGCAACAGACCACTGGTTGTGCTGTTTGTACGGAGAGGGATCAAGGAGAAGATTTTGTGAAAAAGCAAGGATTCTTCGGTACGCAAAGAAAGAAGGGTTCGCTTCGCAGAGATGATGCCACTGGAGGATAGAGAGGCAAGGAAGAAGCTATGAGCGCAGATTGAACAAGCTTGTCGCGAAGGAAAGCGTGCTTCCTACCGTGGACCACATGGATTCATAGAAGGCCGGAAAATTGGCTAACTCCAAAAGGCTCTATTTTAAAAATGGACTTTTTGAGTGAACTAAGGTACCAGGGCTTGCTGGGCAATTAAGAAGAAAAGTTTGTTTTATCTTCTAAGCACTCAAGTTGTATTGTTAGTTTTGTTTTATTGTTTATTGTTAAACTCTTTAAGATTTGAAAATCCTCACTGATCTACGTCACACACTTGAGTTAGTGTTCATGGCCTCACCCATCTTAACTCACAGCGAAAAAGGCTGTTGTTTTAACTTCTGGGAAACTGTAGAGAACATCAGGTTATTTAAGCTAACCATTAGCATTAGCAACTTCACCACAAGGCAGAACTCCTCTAGGCTTGTGGTATTTGTGGAAATAAAACATCGACATTGCAAGTCAGTGGTAGAGTCGCATTGCAAATGTCTAGATTTCTTACAGCTCGGCTGTGATGTGGGCATCTTTTAGTTCAGAGAAGTGGTGCACTAGCATATCACCCCCACCCCCCCAAAAGTGACTTACATGGATTCATTCCTACTAGAGACCACTCCAAATGCAATGATTAAACGCATCAACCACTCCTAAATCAGCACTACTAACGCGTTTCTTGTGCAGATAAATTAGAAAAGGTAAATATCGACCAATATATCGGTCTGTCCTCATCCAAACCTTTCAAGACAAGGGCCAAAATCACCAACTCAAGACTCCATGTAATGCAGATGTTTGATTTTTTTTCTTTGCCTAAAAATGGGCCTAATTTACAAAAATCTGAGCAAAAGTGTAAATAGGGAATAAACAACCTGCTGGAGACTCTAATTATCCTAGAAAGGCTGGAAAAGGGTGGAGTACAAAGCGGGTTGCAGGAGTAAGTACTCGGGTAAGTATTGGCCAGGGAACCCAGTACTTACTCAAGTAAGTACTTACCGTATGTATGTTGATGGTACTTACACAAGTGCTTACTTCTCCAACTACTTCAGCTAGAGGAGTAAGTCAGGATCTTGTTCTTGAGTAAAGTGGGAGATTCGGTCATGATCAAAAACATCTATTAGTGAGTGGGAACACTAAACATCAGAGCTAAAAGAACCGATGGTGGTCATTGGGGAAAGGTTCTGAGTAACATGGAAACACCTTTAGAGGTACGTCCTGGACTGGATCTGGATCCTGGACTGGATCATTCAAAGTTTAGGATGCCTCTTCTGAGGTTTCCTAGCACATTCAACTGGGACACACAAATCCCTTGGATGAGCTGGAGCGTGGTCACTGGGAGAAAAGGGGTGATGGATATCTCATTTCTGTATTTAAACTGTCGTCGTTTCATTCCTAAGATTTGACTTTGAGAGCTCGCTGAACAACTTTCCACTTCCTGACTTAGCTCTGCGTGTTTGAAGTTAAATAAAAATGCATAAATTCATGAAAAACTCAGCAGAATCACTTCACAGCAGTAATTACTCCACAGTTTTCTGTTCCACCCCTCTGGAACGCTTCCAGACAGATTATTTATGCTGCAGAAGAGAAATCGCCCATCAGTGAGACAACCGGCCCGTCTCATATCTGAAATCAGCCGGTTCCTTTCATGAACCCTCTTGGAACAGAATAACTAAAACACTGATGCCTTCTGGGACGGATAGCTGCAGATGTCCCTCATGTCTTGTTTTTACTCGCTAATTGTTTTCACGCTCTCACACTGACCTTTATGTGAAAACTTCTTCCTCGTCTATAATTCAGTCTTTAGGCACTAAAACCACGAGTCGACTAAGTTTTACTGCTTTTATTTTCTTTCACTGGTGCGTAATCCATCCTCCTGAGCCACGTTCTCTGATGAAAACTTGAACTTTTGAACATTAAGAATTTTCTTTTGCCATTTTTATCCTTATTTTAAAATAATTTCCTCTTTCCTCACAAATACAGAGAGAGGACCTAGCACTACCACATTAGCTCTGTGTGACCTGTGCACATGATATTTTATTTGTTTTGTGTTATAGTTTGTTTTTGTTGCTATAAACATTTTTTTAGACTCTAAAATATTTTTGAAAGTTCCCGGGCTTGAGTATCATTTACTCCGAGGATTACAGGTATGCTCAGCCAGCTTCATCTTTCTCTTCAGGCGTCGACACAGTTAATCATGTGTCTCCATGTCTTGTGTCCTCTACCCTCCCTAGGGATGGGTACCGAATTCGGTACTTTTTAAGGTACCGACCGAATTCCATAGTACCGACTGAGCACCGATTCACGTCGTTTCAAACTGTGCCTCGTTTCGGTACCCGTCCTTCATAACGAGAACTTGCCTGCGCAAGAGCGTTATGTCGTCGGTCGCTGCGAGCCAGTTGTAAACAGAGCAGCATGGTAGAAAGAGCGCACGCTAAAGCTTGGGTCCACTTCACTAAATGTGATGGGTAACTGGGTGATGATGAAACCAGCGACAACGATCTAAGTGAGACATCCTCATCTTAATCTGCTCCGGTAGGTAAATAAAATGTTTAAGATAACATTAGCTTGATATGTTAGCTTCCGTTTCGCTAATGGTGCGTTCGCTTTCTCCTCGGAACTCAGAATTTCCGACTAGAACATGAACGCGCTCTAAAGTTTGGCTTCACTTTACTAAATGCGATGGGTGATTGGGTGAAGATGAAACCAGCGACAACGATCTAAGTGTGAGGCATCATCGTTTAAATCTGCTCCAGCAGCTAAATAAACTGTTTAAGATAACATTAGCTTGGTATGTTAGCTTCCATTGCCACCGTTGTTATCAGCTAATGGTGCGTTTGCTTTCTCCTCGGAAATTCTAACTTCCCAGTAGGAAAAATCAAATGAAAAAAGACGGCAAAAGGAATGAAGATACACAGTAAATTTAGTTCACAGTAAAGATGTTTGCTTCAGTTTAATTATCA